CCAAAGTCACCAAAGCTCATTGAGGTAGACCGGGGACCAGTCATGGGCTATGCTAACTTCAAGTTTATTTTCTGTTCCAGGGCCAGCAAAGTCTTTTTAGTCTTTGCAGGCCATCAGGTCTCTGTTGCAACTACTCACATCTGCCATTGAAGCACAAAAGCTGTCACAGACAACGTGTAAATGAAGAGCTATGCAGTATTTCAATAAAATATTATTTCCAAATACGGCCAGATTTGGCCCATGGGCAATGGTTTGCTGACCATTGCACTACATTGTGGTTACTTTCTGTTATATCCGGAGTAATGTAAAGCAACACCATGTCCACAGCACACCTCCAGAGGGACTCTCAGCCTTGCAGTCCCAGCGATGCTCGGTGCTCGGGTTTCAGCTCCGCAGGGAGTGGTTGCACCAGTGCCACTGAAGGAAAAGAGGAGGAAGGAAACTGGAGAGGAAGGCGACTGCGCTGTTTCAGGTGAGCCTGCACCTTTGCTTCCGCTTGCTCTTAGGTTCCTTTGCAGGGCACCGTCCCAGTGGTCTTCCGACGTGGGTGTCATGCTGAGTAAAGCAGGGACAGCACCTCAGCTGTCACTGCCTGGTGGCAAGGTTCCTCGTCCCCCTACTCCCCACTTCTCAGGCTTCTGGATAAGATCCTCCTTCCTGTTGGGGCCACTGGCGTCCTCATTCTAGGCAAATCAAAAGAGACCACCCAAACCTACAACAGTAAACGCTTCCCTCTTTCTCATTTGTCCAAAATTATAGACATCTCCCCTTTTTTCTTATATACATTTTCTAATGTTTCCATAGGGACCACAGATTTCCTTTTTAGAAGAGAAAGAGAGTGGGGTGGAGGAGGGGGTGCCATAAGGACTACTCCATCTTCCCCTCCCAGGAGCTCCTCCGGCTTCAGACATGACAAAGGATGGCTTATGCTTGTTAAAATACAAAAATTGGCACCCTCAGAGCTCAAAAAAGAGAATTTAATTTGTCCTTTGTAGTTCCCCTTTCCTACCCCTTTTGGTAATATTTCATCAACCCTGAGATTTTCTCAAAAGTCACAGTGTATTATTCTTTGTTTTTGAAAAAACAAAACAAAACAAAGCAAAACCCAAAGCTAACATCCCTTCTACAGAGAACAATAGGAAATGAATAGCTGTGTCTTCCAGCGATGATTATTATTATGAATCTTTGTGAGGAAATGTCACTGGGATTCAGCCGTGGAATTGAATTCCTCTTCCAAATTTTATTGGCACTTATTGGGTCTGACAGTTTGATGAGAGAGTTGTGGATTATTTAGAAGCTCTTCCATCACTGATTGGATTCCGTTTGATAAAAAGCATTTATTGAGTGTTAGTTACAACCTCAGTTACTGTGAGTAGGAAAAAGGAAAATTAAATCTGCTGCCCTCCCTCCAGGAGGGGAAGAAAAGGAGAAGTTCATGAAAGACATTCATCTTTTTGTTCATTTACCCAGGATTTATCCTTCCTCACTTTCTACACAGCCAAGGAAGAAAGGTAGAAATCACTGCAATACAGAATCATTTAAAGAGAATTTCTCAGGGCGATGTGGAGACGTTGGGTGGGATAACTGGATAACTGGGGAATTTTTTGTAAGGGGTTAAACTATCTTGACGGAGAAAAGGAAGGGAGACTGTATGTTAAAGGAGTCACCTCCATGGCGACGATGTCAAAAGCAAAGGGCAGAAGATGTACATTTATTTCCTCCTCTGCATGTTCTAAATTTTTCCAAGAAAAAAATCGTTTCCCAGCTTAAAAAAAAAAGTACTCCCTTCCCCACCCACTGCGGCTGAGTGTGGCTGGCCTTAGTGACCACACTGGCACCTGAAGGGCAGCACGTGGAAAGCAGGGAACCCTGCCCGTGCCGGGGGAAGCCTGGCCAACGTGACCTTCGCCACGTGACCAGTGTTAGCGTGACCGTCAATAAGACACATAGATGCCAGATCCCCGGTAGGACAAGGGCTCTGCAATTCTGTGCTGTCCTTTGCCCAGACCTGTAACCCTATGAGAAAAACATCAGACAAACTCAAACTGAAGGACATCCTTTAAAATGCCTGACCAGGATTCCTCGCAACTGTCAAGGTCATGGAGAACAAAGAAAGACTGAGAAGTCGTCACGGACCGGAGGAGACTAGGAGGCCTGACAATCACATGCAGTCAGGTAAAGATTAACTTTAAATATGTTAAACATTCATGTTCACATAATTACTAGATAATATAAATGTGCTGTATAAATTTCAAACCAGTAAAAGGGGAAAAATGTTACAAAAGGGAAATAAAGGACAGGATCAGAAAAGGACATGAGCAGAAAAACTCGTGAACTCTGAATGAAGTCTGGAGTTTAGTTTATCAACTACCTGTACAACTGGGAATGCACCAAAGTAATGCAGCAATTCTTCGTTCTGACAAATATGCTCCTGTCACGTACAGTGAGATGTAGCGTGCGGATGCCGGGGCAGAGGGAGAGAGAGACGCTGCATGATGTTCCCAACTTCTCTGTGCACCTAACATTATTCCAAAATAAAAAGTTTAAAGCAGTCTGGTTTCATAACCATTCATTAGGTGTGAAAACAGTTTTGTTAACCACAGCCTGTCTTCGCAAAGGCGCTGTTACCGTAGGCCAGCACCTGCATTCACTTGGACACCGCAGTGTCAGCCCCGTGTGCAGCAAACGCTGAAGACCGTCTGTGATTTCTCAGAGCATCTCTTCATACCCATTCAAACTTTAGTGGGATCCAAATGGTTTACCACAGGAGGATCCAGTATAAATGTTTCACTTCATATGAAAAAGTAAGAAAACATGATGCATTTGAAAAAAAGATAATCCGCTGTATCCGGCTTCCCACTGAAATTCACGAGCAGACAAGGCAGCGCGCGCAGCTGAGAACCCCCGGCCGGAGCGTCGGCGCTGCCGGGCATGCTGCCCAGGCCTGCAGAGCCGCGCAGCCGAGTCGAGCAAGAACCAGAAGAGTTTGCCTCACGGTGTGGTGTGCTTCTTGTTAGAACAAAGGCCACTGGCAAAAAGTGAGAGTCCACCTTCTCCCCCTCACTGCCTGTGTCTGGACTCAGAGGTCCAGGGAGCGAGCGCACCTGCGCAGGACAGGGACGCTTCGCTTTTACCGCGGGTGCTGGCTTCTGGGACAACCCCGACTCCTGCTCTCCTGAGACCGTGGGTGCCGGAAAAGGAGAGGAAAGGAGGGCAGGAGCGGGGACTGACACGAGAACTGCCATCGTGGAAGAGCGCTGTCCTTTCACACCCCAAACTCAGCATGACAAGAGACACCGGCGGCCCTTCCTTCACCACACCTCTGGAACCCGGCCCACGTTCGCCACCTCCATCGCCAGCTCCTGGGCCCAGCCAACATCGTCTCCTCCCGCCATTACCTCACAAGCCTTGTAAATGCTCCCTCTCCTTTTACCCCAGCCCCTTCTGGAGTCTGTTTTCAACCTCAGAAACTGGGGTGATCCTGTTAAAATGAAAGTCAGACCATGTCACTCCCTGCTCAAAGCCTGCAGTGGCTCCTGTTTCACTGAGGCACAGAGCACGGCCCTCTAATGGCCCGTGAGCCCCTGCACGTCGGACCGCCTGTTACCTTGCTGCGCGGGTCCTAGACTCCTCTGCCTGCTGCCTGCTCTCCTCTAGCACACCCAGCTCCTTGCTACTCCCACCCCAGGGCCTTTGCACTGGCTGTTTCTTCTCCCTGAAACCTCCCTTTCTTAGGTGTCATATGGCTCTCTCTTCTCCTGAAAGTCTTTTGGTATTAAAATATTCAACCCTATTAATATTTCAACTCATATCTACATGCCCTTTTCCCTAGCCCTCTTATTCCACTTCAATTTTTATAACATTCTATAAAAGTTATCTATTTATTAAGTTCATGACTTATTAACAATCATAATGAAACCTGCCAGGATGCAATTCCATGAGGAGGAGGATTTCTGTCTGTGTTGTTTATTGAACAATGTCCAGCACGCAATAGGTCCTCAAATGTCTTTGGATTAGTAAACAGTGATTCACACAAGAACAGTTTAGTAGGTCCAGATACAAAAAGAACCTCTCAGAGCGCATGCTGGGCAATGTAGTGGATTTCACAGGTGGGCTCTGACATTACAGGTGCAGGCGGTGTGGTAAACAAGGTCTCCTGATGGAGAGCAGCCGCCCCAGCCAATGGAGCTGCAAATGTCCATGTGGCCGTACACTGCAGGACTGTGAAATGCATTTGCCCAGAATCGGAATCGTGGCCAGTGTAAGCACCCTGTCTGTGAGAGTCTTTCAGTCTGGACAGTTCTTGTTTTAGCCAAGAGTGAGATTTAAATTAAAAGACAATCCACAAGCTTCCACAAGTGTACTTGTGATGGTTATTCCAGGCAAAGGATAAATATCCTTAATATATAAAGAGTTTTCCAGTCTATGAGCAAAAGACAGCACTACTACTGGAAAACAAAATGGGCAAAATACATAATAAATAGGCAGATTCTGTGGGCATAAAAGGTTCAATTGATCTAGTGTCCAAAGAAATGCAAATAAAAATAATGATATTCTATATTCTATTTTCATATCTAAAAAGATTAAAGAATGTGCATTACAAAATTGCCCACCAAAAGGGGTGTATTGACATTTAGCACCTTTAGATTTGGTAATGCCATGTAAAGAAATAGGCATTTATTCTAAGGAAACAATCATGGAGGTATTAAATAACTGAGTAGCCACTGATGTTCATTGAGGCTTTGTTCATAACCTCCAAAAGCCTCCATAACCTCCAAAAGCCTCCATAACCTCCACAAAGAACACACGCATCCATATTTCATTGGTTAACACGATGGATGCCCAGTGGGAAGGTACATGCAATCTGTAGTCGTTGCTTGTGTTTGAACCTCAGCTCCGCCCTCCAGGCTGTGTGACTTTGGACATGCTAGTTAATCATTCTAAGCATTTTACAGAAAGGAGCCACAAAACAGCGCATAACATTTTAGGAGGGACAAAAACTTCAATGGGACTGGATTGTAGATTTCTTTGGTAGGGATATGGGTGGAGGTGTCTGAAAAAGCAGCTGGGTTTAGGCCTTCAGTGGTGTTTGTTGACCACGGAGCAGTGAAGGGATTCAGGGTAAGGATCACTTGGTCACATATAAAATGTTGTAAATAGTGTGCAGAACTGAGGAGGCTGTGGGGGTGCCTCAGTCGGGAAGGTCTCAGCGCTTCAGCCGCTGCATGTGAGGATGACGGGAAATTCTGTACCCTCTCTGCCGGGTTCCAGCCTCACCCCCTTTCCCATCAAAGTCCACAAACAGTGGGGTGAGAGAGTGAGGGCTCCTGTGGGGATGAGGGGAACATTCAGATAAGTTTTGGAAATGGTCTGATGGGACTTGACTTGTGGCGTGAAGCCTGTGTCAGCCCCTCTCTGGCAGGGCTCATGGAGGCAGCTGGGGTCAGAGTCGAAGTCAGCGGGCAGCAGCCTAGATCGTTAGAGACCTGGCCTGGGCGAACTCTTGCTAGTTGTTTTCGTGCTTTTGTTTTCTCTCCTTAAATATTTAGCAAACAAGCATTCATTTCTAATACTTTCCCATCTCTGCCCAGCGGTCTGGGGGGCTGGCGCTGGGCCAAGCAGCAGTGAAGGGCAAGTCCCGCGTCTTCTGCCGCCAAGAGGGTGTCTGCGCGTCACAGGCAAGTCAGGGCCAGACCTCCCAGTTTGGGAGAGACCTGCATGTGCGTGTGAGTGCGTGTGAGTGCGTGTGAGTGCGTGCGTGCGTGTGTGTGTGTGTGTGTGTGTGTGTGTGTGTGTGGTGGTGGGGGGTGGTGCAGGAAGGGAGCGAGTGGGGAAGGAGGCAGCAATTAGAGAGACAAAGAGCGGGAGAGAGAGCGCCCCAGAAGGAAACTGTAAGAACAACTTCAGAAGTCAGCAGAGCCCCTGCCCGCAGCCCTGGTGCCACCGCAGCCAGCACCCACGGAGAGCAATATTCAGTAGTCTTTTTGATCAGTTGCTGAGGCTTCAAAATGTGCCTTTGAAACACAGGCTCCATCTGGAGCAAATGACTTCCAGTCCACCCAGAGGCCCCACAGGCTGACGCAGCCGTGCTCCGGAGCCAGCTGTCCCGGCGTGCCATGTCACCGCATCACCTGCTGCCCCGGGTGAGCCTCCACGAAGCGGTTGGCCTGGGGTGCCCTAGAGCACTGAGTCCCTTTCAGCAGACTTTGTTGTACAGAAGAGGGTATGTTTTGTATGTTTCTGCTTTGGGGTTTCTGGATCTAATTAAGGGACTATGGGAAGACAGTGCAGATCGAATGACTCCTTAGCGTAAGCCCGTTTTCCTCCTCTCCTCCCTCTCCTCCTTCCAACCGCCCACCTCCCGCATGATGCAGGGGCAAGTGTGTACATCAGGATTGCGTCAGTTGCAAGGAACTAAAAATTACTGTGCCTTGAACAGTTTGGAGGTCACTTTATCTCTCACGTAAACAAGGTGGGTAGCCTCATTCTGGCGAGGGAGTTCCTCCAGAGTCGATAGGAACCAATGTTGTTTCAACTCGCAGGGGCACCAACGTCTAGGGTGAGACCTTGTTCTTGAGATCAGAAGTAATGGCCAGAACTCCAGCCACCACGTCTGAGCTCCGGGTATCAAGATGGAAGAAGGGGCAGCAAAGACAAGGGGCAAAGCTCACATGTCAGCGTTCTCTTAAAGACATTTCTTAGCAGTAGTCTCACGTATCACTGACCAGAATTTAAACAGGTGCTCATACTTAAATGTAAGGAAAGCTGGGAGATGAAGACTCTGGCAAAAATCTGAGGTATTATTACCAACAAAGAAGGGGAGAATAGAAACTGAGTTCTCTGCCATGGTTCACCATTTTGGCTACCAGAATATTCGTGGGAGGGCTTGTTATGCACAGAACACATTCGTGCCCGTCTTGAAACCAGCAAACACAGTTTCAACCATTTGCTGCCTCTAGCTCCAAGTCCAGGACTTATAGTCCTCTACATCCATCTTCGTGTGCTGCTGCTCCTTGTCTGGCAACTTGTGTTTTTAAAGGTACGTTAGCTCTCAACACACTGTGAGAGAAAAGAAACAGGGTAATGATGATGAAATCTCCCAGTCTCCCAGGAAAATGAAAACAGAATTGAATAACAGTGATCAAACCCTGCTGGGCATACCTAGTGTGTACTCCCAATCTGGGAGTGGAGAAGCTTCCTTGGTTGGGAATGTTCCTGGTGCTGGGATCTGGATAGAATCCCATTCATTATCTGTTGTCATCCATGGCCCCAGTCCCCTGGTTGGTTCCTGTACACAGTCCTCCCAGGGTCCACCGAAGTTGGCATTAGAGTACAATCCTTCTTGGGGCCACCCCACTTTCCAGATCACTTCTTGCTGATGCAAGTTCAGAGCCCCAGGGGTTGTTAGAATAGAGTAGTCCCTCGGTATCCAGGAGGTGTTGGTTCCAGGATCCTCCACAGATAGCAAAATTCTTGGATGCTCAAGTCCCTGATGTCAAAGGGCTTAGTATTTGTACATAACCTGTGCACATCTTTCCATATGTTACATCTTAAATCATCTCTAGATTGCTTACAATGCCTAAGACAATGTAAATGCTATGAAAATAGTTGTTGTAATACATTTTAAAAATTTTTATGACTTTTCATTGTTGTATTATTGCTTTTTATTGTTTACTCAAATATTTTCCATCTGCAGTTGATTGAATCTGCAGATGCGGAACCCACAAGGATGGACCAATTGTATTTACAGGCTCCTGGCTTTTGCAGGCCAATTCAGAATTCGTTGCCAATATTAATATCTTAAAAATGTAGTAGGGGTTTGGAGTACTTGCTTTCAGCCTACCGTGGGTGTGAGTGACCACAGCCAACAATCTTGTCCAGAGGACGCGCTGACGCCTCTGGGTTTAATTGCTGACCTGTGTGTCCAGCCCATCAGGATGCTGCTTTGATGCATCTGAAATGACGGGCTTGTGAGGGTGCCCTAACCCCTCTTGCCACCAGGTTCACAGTCTTCCTTGTCTTCCACAGAGACTGCCGTTTCACAGCCACGGTGCGTAATTTCTTCTGGGTGAGCTGCAGGAGCATCTGACTTTCTCTCCCTTGCACAGCTCCACACCGTAGGGCTCTTAGTGTGAGCTGCAGAGCACGCGCTCCACACCTACACAGGTGTATTCCCTTTTCTCTGTGTTGGCAAACTGGGTAGGTCCAGCGTAACTCATCTCTCTCTAGTAGTACTTTTTTTTTTTTTTTTTTTTTTTTTTTTGAGACAGAGTCTCGCTTTGTTGCCCAGGCTAAAGTGAGTGCCATGGCGTCAGCCTAGCTCACAGCAACCTCAAACTCCTGGCTCAAGCAATCCTCCTGCCTCAGCCTCCCAAGTAGCTGGGACTACAGGCATTCGCCACCATGCCCGCTATTTTTTGTATATATGTTAGGTTGCATTAATTTCTTTCTATTTATAGTAGAGACGGGGTCTCGCTCTTGCTCAGGCTGGTTTCAAACTCCTGACCTCGAGCAATCCGCCCGCCTTGGCCTCCCAGAGAGCTAGGATTACGGGCGTGAGCCACCGCGCCCGGCCTCTCTAGTAGTACTTTGCTGGAAGTAATAAGAAGTAGTCAACCATGGCTACTGTACTGAAATTTTCAGACCATTGGCCCTAACCATATATAAGGGTCCACTTTCCTTCTTCTACATATGATATCCAGTTTTCCCAGCACCATTTATTTTTTATTTTTTTCCCCAGAGAACATAAATTGCTCATCCAGGACCATTTATTGAAGAGACTATCCTTTCACCATCATGGCACCCTTGTTGAAGATCAATGGAACATAAATGTGTGGATGTATTTCTGTGCTCTCTAGTCTGTTTTATTGGTCTATGTGTCTGTTTTTATGCCAGTACCATACTATTTTGATTACTGTAGTTTTTCAGTATATTTTTAAATCAGATAGTATGATGCTTATAGCTTTGTCTTCTTGCTGATGATTGCTTTGTATATTCAGGATCTTTTGTGGTTCCTGATGAATTTAGAATTCTTTATTACTGAGAACAATGCCATTGGAATTTTGATAGAGATTGCAGTGAATCTGGAGATCTCTGTGGATGGTATGGACATTTCTTCCTATCCATGAACATGAATATCTTTCTATTTAGTTGTGTCATATTCACATTTTTTCCACAATGTTTTATAGTTTTCAGTGTATAGATCTTTCACCCCTTGGATAAATTTATTCCTAAGTAATTTAGGTTATTGTTATGCGATTGTAAATGGGATTATTTCCTTAATTCCTTAAAGTGTGTTGTCAATGTATAGAAAAGCAACTGGATTTTTGAATGCTCATTTTGTATCTTACAACTTTACTGAATACATTTATAGCTCTAATAGTGTTTTTATGAAGTTTTCAGTGTTTTTTTATATAAGATTATGTCTATAAGCAGAAAAATATTTTAATTTTCTCTTTTTGATTTGGATGCCTTTTATTTCTTTTTCTTGCCTAATTGCTCTGGCTAGGACTTCCAGTATTATTTTGAAAAGAAGTGGCGTGCATGAGCATTCTTGTCTTATTCCTGATCTTAGAGGAATTTTTTTTTTGTACTGTTGAATATGGTGTTAGCTGTGGGCTTGTCATATATGGCCTTTCTGTTGTGGTAATATCCTTCTACAACTAAGTTTTTGAGTTTTTATTATAAAAAAATGTTGACCTTTTTGTTAAATACTTTTTGTACATCTATTGAGATGATAATATGATTTTTATCCTTTATTCTATTAATGTGGTACATCGTACTTATTATATTAGTTATATTATATTAATACATATTTTGAAACATACTTGTATCCCAGGGATAAATCCCACTTGCTCATGATTTATGAGACTTTTAATATGATGTTGAATTTGGTTTGCTAGTGTTTTGTTGAAGATTTCTACATCTACGTTCATCAGGGATATTGAGCTATAGTTTTCTTTTCTTGTAGTGTCTTTCTTTGCCTGGCTTTGTTACCAAGGTAGTGCTGGCCTCATAATATCAGTTTGGAAGTGCTCTCTTCTCTTTAATTTTTTGGAAGAATTTGGGACATATTGGTATTAATTCTATAAATGTTTTGTAGAATTCTTTTATGAACCTATTAGGACCTGGTTTTTCTTTGTTGGGAGGTTTTTGATTACTAACTCAATCTTCTTACTCATTCTTGTTCTGTTCAGACTTGTTTTTCTTCATGATGTGGTCTTGGTAGGTTGTATGTTTATAGGAATTTATCCATTTTTTTCCTGTTATTCAATTTGTTGGCATATAATTGTTTATAACAGCCTCATAATAATTTCTGTGGCATCAGTTGTAATGTTTCTTATTTCATTTCCGATTTTATTTGAAACTTCTCTGTTTTTCAGTTCATTTAGCTAAATTTTTCTCAAGTTTATCCTTTCAAAAACCAACTCTACATTTCATTGACTTTTCCTCCTGTATTTCTGTTTTCTATCTTATGTGTTTCTCTTCTGATTTTCATTATTTCCTTCCTTCTGATAAATTTGATCTTAGCTTATTCTTTCTTTTACTTCCTTGAGGTATAATGTTAGATTGGGTTTTTTGAGATATTTCTTCTTTTTTAATGCAGGAATTTATCATTATGGTAGCAGAACTACTCTCTTAGTTCTGCTTTGCTGCATCCCATAAGTTTTGGTTATTGTATTTCCATGTATCCTCAAATATTTTTATTTTTTTATTTCAGGGTTATTATGAGGGTACAAACATTTTGGTTACATTTTATGTCTTTGCCCCTCCCTAGCAAGGGTTAGAGGCATTCCCTTCCTCTCTACAATGCTCACTGTATCCTTTAATTGTGAGTTTACAGCCCCCCAACCCACTAATCCTTGGAGAATATTACTACCATGTGAGTACCATAGTGTTAATCAGTCAGTACCAATTTGATGGTGAGTACAAGTGGAGCCTATTCTTCGGATCTTGTGTTACCTCAGTTCAGATAATGGGCTCAAGTTCAATCCAGGAAAATATAAGAAGTGCTAGATCACTGTCATTTCTTATAATTGAGTAATAATCCATTATATACATATACCAAATTTTAATAATCCAGTCATGAACTGATGGGTACTTGGATTGTTTCCATATCCTTGCAATAGTGAATTGTGCTGCACTAAACATTCGGGTGCAGATGCCTTTATTATAGAATATCTTCTGCTCTTTGGGGTAGATGCCTAATAGTGCTTATGCTGGATTGAATGGTATTTCTATTTTTAGCTCTTTAAGGTATTTCCAAATTCTTTTCCACAGAGGTTGCACTAATTTGCAGTCCCACCAACAGTGTAGGAGTGTTTCTGTCTCTCCACATACTCACCAGCATTTGTTGTTTTGAGATTTTTTGATAGAGGTCAATCTCACTGGGATTAGGTGATATTTCATTGTGGTTTTGATTTGCATTTTTCTAATAATTAGATATGTTGAGCATTTTTTATATTTTTGCTGGCCATTATTCTGTCTTCTTTTGAAAAGTTTCTGTTCATTTCCATTCCCCATTTATTGATGGGGTTGTTTGATTTTTTCTTATTGATTCTTTTAAATTCTAGATAGATTCTTGTTATCAGACCTTTATCGGATGTGTAGAGAGCAAATATTTTCACCCATTCTGTAGGCTGTCTATTCACTCTATTTTTCTTGCTGTGGTGATTTCTTTGGGGGTCTTTTTCAAGAATTCTTTGCCCAGGCTGATGTCTGAAAGGGTCTTCCCAAAATCTTCTTTTAGAATTCTTAAGGTTTCATGCCTTAGGTTTAAGTCTGTTATCCATCTTAAATGGATTTTTGTGAGACGTGACAGGTGGGGATCCAATTTCATTCCTGTGCATGTAGATATCCAGTTTTCTCAGCACCATTTATTGAAAAGAAATTCTTTTCGTCAATGTATATTTTTGTCTGCTTTGTCAAAGATTAAATTGTCATATGTGGGTGGTTTTATCTCTGGATTCTCAGTACTATTTCAAAGATCTATGTCTCTATTCTTGTGCCAATACCATGCTGTTTTAATTATTATAGCCATGTAGTACAGTTTGAAGTCTGGTAGACCGATATCTCCAAGTTTGTTCTTTTTACTTAAGATTGCTTTGGCTATACGAGGTCTTCTCTGGTTTCATACAAAGTATAGAATTATTTTTTCTAGATCCGTAAAGAATGATGATGGTACTTTGATAGATATTGCATTAATTCTGTAGATCACTTTAGGAAGTATTGACATTTTAATGATATTGATTCTACAAATCCATGAGCAAGGTAGCTTTTTCCATCTGTTTACATCTTCTACAATTTATTTTCTTAGTGTTTCATAGGTCTCCCTACATATGTCTCTCATATCTTTCATTAAATATATTCCTAGATATTTAATTTTCTTTGAGGCTACAGAAAAATGTATTGAATGTTTGATTTGAGTTTTGGCTTGACTGTTATTGGTGTATATGAATGCCTCTGATTTGTGTATATTGATTTTGTAACCTGAGACTTTAATGAATTAATTTATCAATTTTAGGAGTCTCTTGGACAAATCTTTGGGGTTTTCTAGATATAATATCGTATCATT